TACACGACGAAGAAAAGAAACCGCTAAAACTCCTTTTGATGAACTGACCACTCACAACAGGCTGATCAGTTAACACTAATAGCATCGTCAAAAACATTTGCCCCCGTCGAAACTTTTGCTAACCATCGAAACTTTTGCCACCCGTCAAAACTTTTGCAATTTTGCCTTTAATAAAATAATTTGGCAAAATGTTTCGATGGGTTTCAATTTCAATGCCTGTCGAAACCTCGGGGTTTTGCCCGGCAACCTTAGTTTTGATTAAGAAATTATACACTCAAAAAATTAAAATATAAAAAGTATTCTCCTTCTCTGTCAATTTGGATTTAAATATAAGTTAAAATACTAAAAAATTAGAAAGTTAGCCTTTTTTTCATATTAATTTAACTTCATGCTTTCTATTTCCTATTTTTTTAGTTAAATATATTATTTTTATTTAGCTAAAATTTATTTATTAGTGAGTGAAGCTTATTAACATAGTAAAATTTTTTATAATCTTAATTTTAATGATCAAATACTCAAATTTGATCTTATTTTACAATCACAAAAATTTTATTCATATTAAAATATGCATTGCGAACTTCAAATAATATATATAGAATTTAAACTAGTAATATATATAAAATACTATGTAATTATTTATACAAATCCTTTAAAAAAAGTTAATTATATAGTAAAAGATTGCACTGCCATTCTTTTTTCTGGGAACTGTACATTAAACAAGACTTAAAATAAATCAAAAACATTTTATCAATGCAATTTATACTCTAATTATACATTAAACGAGATTTAAAATAATTGAAAACAATTATTAATATAATATAATACTTTAATTATACATTAAAAAAGAATTAAATTAAATCAAAAACAATTTATCAATATATTAAATCAAAACAAACTTAAATTAGATCAGAAATAATACCTTTATCATGCATTAAATCAGTATGAGATTCAAAAACAATTTATTAATACATTAAATCAAAATAAACTTAAAGTAGAATATGAATTTAATAATTTTTTAATCAAATATTTCGTTAAATTAGAACTTATTCAATTATTAATTATATAAATCATTACAAAATTTGAAATAAATTTTATTTTTGAACATAAATACCATTAGCAAGTTGAAGATTTTTTTTATTAAAAAAAATATCCAATTAAATTTAATAGCATAAAAAATAATACTATACTGATCATAATAAGTATCACATTCTAAATAAATCATTTTTAATTTTTCCCATAATATATATTGCAACTTTGATAAACTAATAAAATATTTTTAATATTTTTTTCATAAGTATGAAAATTGTTATTTTATAAGAACTTACTGATAATTTAAAAGGTAAAATACAGTGATAATATTAACATTTATCAATAGGTAGTCTAAGATTATGCTTTCTTCCTTTTTTTTATAATTTTCTTTTTCTTTATTTCATTTAAAAAAAATTATAAAAACAAATAACCTTAGTTAAAGTGATATATCTGCTGATCAGTGAATTTATTTCTTAAACTTAAAAACTAAAATATATAAAGAAGTATTCTCTTATTTCATACTATCGGCAAAGTAAGTAAAAAATATAAATTCACTTATCTTATCTTCAATATGTGTCGAAGTGCTTCTATTAGTTTAGCTTTAGAAAGTTTCTTTTTCTTTTATTTCTTCTTTTATATGTATTTATACTTTTACGAATTTATCCAATATTTTTAGATAAGATTTAACGAAAGTTATATGCTTAGAATCTTTTAAGACTATATTTATACTGACAATTTAAAAGTTGTAAAATAATAATAATGCTAATTATTATTAAGAGATAATGGATAGTTCACTTGCTTTTAACTTTAGATAGAGTTTTAGTTTCTTTAATATGTAAAGTTTTCATATGGAAACTATTTCTTTTACATGTAATTCTCTAAATGTGAAAATGTATTTAACTAAAATAATAAAAATTACTAATAATATTATAAATACTTGAATACATAATTTTAAAATGTATAGCATCTTCACTTTGAAAAATTATACTTATTTATAAACAAGTATGAATTATTATTAATAGATCTTTTTAATTGTGTCAGGATGATTAGTAGAAAAGAGAGAAATCCACTTTTAGTCAAAAATTTTTTTATTGATTCATTTTGCTGATCATGATCATGTGAACAAAACTAACTTAATAACTAAAATTACTTAAAATTTGTAGATTTCCCCCTTTTCTATTGACCGCCCCCATATATTACCATACAAATTATAAGATATTTGAAATTTCTTTACTGTCAATTTGAACTGGGATATTATGAGATCCATTAATAGTATTAACTAAAAACGTCACCAACGGCCATCTTCCATTTCCTCGTATAACTAAATATCTATTTGGATTATTTTCACAATAATAGAAAGGTGATAATTAATGCCTTGTCTTTAATAAAACATAAATTTGTTAATCTATCCAAGCTTTGATAGATAGTAAACAAAGAATGCTCTGAGTAATGCATTACTTTGATATAGCGATAACCTTTATGAGGATGGCCTAAATGCTTTATGAATAAATGGATCATTTTTTCCTAGTAACTTAGTATAGCATTTCTATTTTAGTACCAGAATTAGAATATAAAGGTTTGTAATTTTGTAATAGGGATACCTAAAGTACTATTTTGATAAGTTCCTAAAATCCAGCATTAGTATCTTCTATTTCACTGATTTAATGTACTACTTTTAAGTGAACGCATCAATTAAACTATGCTGCATTGATACGTATAACATTAAATCAAATTCTTTGGCCAACCAATTGTTCATTTATTTAATTTAAAGATCACTACAGAGATTTCCGTGACAAGATCTGTTTACATGAGACGCAATATTTTCTTTTTTTTAAAAAAAAAAGAAAATACTGGGCAATGGCAAAGGATAGCCTAAAGGGGCGCAAGCCGCTACGCTCCGATCAACACCTATATAATTTTTTTAAGAAATTAAAACATTTCTTCTTTTATTCTCGATCTGACCAGGCACAGTCTATATAATGTGGTATTTTTCTCTTGATCTGGTAGTAAAAAAGCTATCGGTGATGTATTAATTGGCTGTCTAAGTATGCAGATAAAAGGTTGGCAAATAATTCAGCTCTAATTGATGAAGAAGGGAAACATTTTTAGAAAAAACAATTCATCTAGCAATTGAACTAACCAAAAGTTGAATTTTGGTTAGTTTCATCAGCGAAAAAAAAAAGACATAAACCTTCATGGCAATAGCTTCGGAAATCTTAAAAAAAAATGATTTAGATTTTAGAAATAAAACCATTATAAGTATAAATTTCTTAACGTACCTTCTTTAAAAAATAAAATGACCCCTGCCGAATCATGAGAAGGCTTCGACATACATATTCTTCAATATTTAGTAAAATTTATTATTACTAGGCATATGTGGTCCAAGAAATTGGACGTCCTTCTAAAAAACATAGCAAACCCAATTGTCATTGTCTATGATTTTGCATAAATCATATATTTCAAACATGTTGATGCACTATTTCTCAAAAAATTTTAGATGGGAGAATAATTTATCAAAAAGATAAAATTTTCAAATGAAATGAACGATATTGCTCAACACCTTCTCTTTTGGGTTGTTGATCTTTTGGTTTTTAGACACTATATAATATATTTAAGTGATTTTTTTTTATTAATGTAGTAATCACGAATTTTGCAAAAAATAATTTTTAAAAAAAAAACCTTGAAAAAATCAACCCGAAATTCATAACCATATAATAAATATCTCACCTTACATCACTTAACATTACAGCCTGTCGTTGTTATTTTAGTTTCACGCTTCGAAAACTGGTTCAAAAGGTATTCGTTAGTATCGTGAAATTTTCGAAATTAAATTTACCCATATTTAATTTTGGGAAATCGGTCGAGTTATCAAGTATTCACGATATAGGTACAGTATATGGGATTTGGGATTTGGGGAATAAGAATTCGATAAATCAATAATGGCATTAAGGAAGTTGGTGATTTCAGAAAAGTTTCCAGTTCGGGAAGCTGGAGTTTGGGGAAATTGGCTTCAGAAAATGTAATTAAGGGAAGTTGTGCTATAACCCACTTGTTATAATCAGTCAATTTCGAAATATTGTATCCAACAGTTTGACCTACAAAATGATATAAAATTAGACAAACTCTTAGCAAAATAAATTCTCAACGTACCTTCATATTTGAAAAATAAACATAACTATAAAATTATGACGAATATTATGAAATTCATAAGGATCATCATGTATGTTCATTCGATGTCTGCTTTCAGCTTTAGTGTAATTTCTGTTTTCTACGCTTTGCTATAACTGGACCTAGATATTGTAATATTGTTTTTATTGTACATCTAAAAAAAATGTAAAGTTTAACAATTTGTACATGTAAATATAACTTTATATGAATTGTTCAAGCCTTATAAATCACAAAGTACAAATATTTTCTTTCTTTTTTTACTTTTTTTTATATATATATATAAATGTATGTATTAATCACCTTTGCTGCCTTGGCGAATATAATGTGATAACGCACTTATCTGCTTCTCATTTGGCAACTATCTCCGTTTTCGTTATTCATCTAAGAAATAATAAATTTACGACGAATTTTCAACTTTATACAAAACGTTTTATAATAAATTTTTTTTTTTTAAAACAACAGTTATATAATAATTCGAGTATCCAATCGTGTGAATCTTACCAAAATGTTCTTGTCATATGCAAAAACATATTTACGAAAGTGGATAAAAGTCAAATGGAGAGATATTTCGTCCGATGCTGGAAATATTTTAATTAAATTATTAAAAATAACTCGAATGTTTTACTTATAAACATTTTGCTTGATTCTGTTCTTAATAATGAAGATGACTTCCAAATACAAGTGAATTTTTTGAATTATTGATCTTGTCGAAGAATTGATTAACCTTTCTTGATTATTGTAACTAAAAACATTATTAAAGATAGCATATAAAGCGGCAGAAATCCAATCAATGCATTAACTTATTGATCCAACCAGAATTGGGTAAGCAACGAAAAAAAATCTTCAAGTTTTATCACAAACTTCTATTATATATGATACCACCTGATAAACATGAGAAATTATCCTGCAAATTTTTTTTTTTTTAAATTTGAAGTTTTTTTACCGTAAGCTACTGTACCACTATATCATGAAAGAATTTTTCGGTTTATTTTTATTATAACGAAATTCTGCAAAGAGCATTTTTTAATATCATACACATCATCCAACAAGATGTTCGGTACGACTCGTTCAGTAGAAATGTTTCAAAATATTTTTTATTGACCCAATTGGACTGATCACACAAAGTTAACTTAATAACCAAATTAGTTAAAATTCATATTTCAATATTAATATGAATTTTATTTCCAACCGGAATGTCCATGAGTTTCATTTTTGGTAATGCTTTTCGGAATTTCTATACCATATTTAAAAATTAATATATTTATCAATTTTTTTTTTTTTTTAGATGTTGAACTCATTTTGATGTTTTGTCAAATTTTTTTTAAAGGTAAAACCGCGAAAGTTTCGACGGGTGAACAGGTGGTAATCTGACTCGACGAAAACAATATCAAAGATACATATTAACAAACAGCACAAAACAAAAAATAATAATGCTTTTTTTCTAAAAGATGATTTTAAAAAAAGACTAGGCAATAGAGAGAGAGAGACAAGGTCTTTATTAATTAATTAATCAAATAAATTAAATTATTTGAGGAAAATAATTTTTTTTTTTTGTATTGTTAATTAGCCAAAATAAAATTTTGTTTCATGAATTAAAAATTCTAATCGTATGGATGAAAAATTATTACTGTTCGCATTTACACCAACCAATGACGTAGTAAAATATTCGATCAAGTATTTCGAAATTCGAATGCAAAAAGTTTAAAATATCACTTTAGATCTTCGAATATCATTTCGCTATCCATTTTAATATAAAATTTACATGAATCATGTGTGAATAATCAATATTTTTAAAGAATAAATGCTTGCTCTTAGCCAGATATAGATGAATCTATAACTGTTTCTCCTGGACACC